GATCCCTACGCCTAGAACACGCACTACAGAGAGATTCAAATCAACGAATAATTCATCTCATTCGATTCGGAAGGGTCAGAAACCTATTTCAAATTTTCGTTTCATGCCACTTCAAATTGAACAGTCACCTGATTGTTTTAAAAATGCCATTTTTTCAACATATCCCTTAGACCAGTAACCTGGCCTCAAACCCATTCACAGCTAGCTTTTTTAGAAAAAGACATACCCCAGTGTCCTCTTTTCAACAAAAAGAAACCAGCAACTCTTCTCATCTGGCCATTCTCGACTTACTCAACTCACAGGCTACTGCGCTATATTTTGAAATTAATAGATTAGTAAATTGTAACTAATACTCGAGATGTGATATTTTTCTCTTAGCAATGGAAAAGCAAGATACTCTCAGAATATAAACTGGCTTGGAGAAGATGCAACGTAGCCTGTTAATGTTAGCAGTGAAGACTTCTGATAATTTTGGAAAGTTCTGATTCATCTCGGCCGGATATTGTCAAAAGGTGACATTCTCTTTTTTTTGTATGACTTAGCACTGAAGCATTATTGTTAATAGTGACACAGGATGCTAGGCTATCAAGGGAAGTTTTAGGGTACGTGGCTCCACGATTCAATCTCAATAGATGTTCAAAGAAGCAGTTTTTATGGTTATATTGATTTTCCAAGGTGTTCAGCTTTTATGAAGCTATGTTGAGAAAGCACTGTGTATGGATTTTGAGCGGAAGATGAACAAATTGGGGCATGTTCGCCCTTAATTATCATGGGTATCAAATTGATATTCAACATTAGTTTGAAAGAGTTCTTGATGAAACAGTCTCTCAATGTTGCCATTTGGCGACATCCGGCCGTAAAGGGATAATAATAATAGATTGTTTTTGTGAAATGTCAACCAGTGATTCTGCAAAAATAGTTTCGTGATCATGGCTCATGTTCGAGATATGACATTTTCTTAGAGTAATTAAAAGCAAAATGCTCTCAGAGTACTACCTGAAGTCGAGAATTTGCCATCCAGTGCCCAAAAATTAAAGTTGGAGCTGGGTGACAATTTTTGAAACTTTTGACCCCATACATCCGGGAGTTACCAAAAGGCAACATTCTCGGCTTTTTTATTTTGTCTATTACCAACAAGCGGTTATTAGTAGTGATGCATACTAATAATCTATTAAGGAAAGTTTTGGAATAGGTGGCTCGCATATTGAACTTCAATAGATGCTCAGAAAAACCATAATCATGGTTATAATCGTTTTCCAGCCTAATTAGCATATATGTGGCTATTTTCAGAAAGCTATGTATATTGATTTTGAATGAAAGATGAATAAATTGCGACATGTTTGCTCCTAATTATCATGGGTATAAGATTGATATTCAACATTAATTTGAAAGAGTTCTCGATGAAAGAGTCTCTCAATGTTGCCAAAAAGCAACATCCGGCCGTAAAGGGTTAAAGAAGAAACATTATTACCTGAATGTCGTATGACTGAATAGTCATCATGTTCGGTTAGTTGTGATCATGGAATAAAAACACGTCGACGTGCTTATCTTATGCCAGATAAAGCTTTTCGTAGTCATTGTAATCAAAGAACCTATGATATGACTTCATACTACTTGGCATCATGTTTATCATCAATGACAAATGATAATTCCAAATCATCAAATAATGCAATATAAATATTCTATGATATTTATTATTAAAATTAATCAAAAAACAATTTGTGTTTTTTTTTGTAGATGTATGGTAAGCGAATGGTCACATTGTTCTGTAACATGTGGTACAGGAATGCGTACTCGTTCTCGTACAATGTTGAAAGGTCGAGATAATCCTCAATGTCAATAAGAATATCAATTAATGGAAAAAGAAACATGTCATGGAATGAAACCATCATGTGAACAAGGCCGTTTAACAGATATAATAGAAAAAAAACGTATATGTATGCAATCACTTGAAACTGGTAGATGTACACAATATGAACAAAGTTTTTATTTTAATTTGGATATGAGTAAATGTCTTGAATTTGATTATAGTGGTTGTGGTGCTAATGATAATAATTTTCTTGCACGTGATGCATGTGAAGATACATGCGATATTTTATTACGCGGACGAACAGGTTATAATATAGAAAAATAAATTATATTAATTTTGTTTTTTAAAATATATTTCGTTGTTTAGAGGATGGTAAAGATACACGTTGTATGACATTACCATGGTCAGAATGGAGTGCTTATTCATCTGTTTGTAGACGTGGAACACAAGTTCGATTTCGTGCATATAAAGTAAAGTTTTTAGCTATGAGTTTTTGTTCGGAACCATTAGAAGAATTTCGTGATTGTGAAGTACTTTCTGATTCAGCACAA